ACACCCTGGGCTGAGCCAAATTAAACTCACACCCAGCCTGAGCCACCCAGGCTGCCCCAAATTAAACTCCTTAAACTCATCAGCAACCCTATCACTTCATTTTTCCTCTGCTCTCCTGCTTCTAAAATTCTGAAGTGGCTCTGTCCTGAATACAAGGTAAAATTCAAGCTCCTAAACTTGGCAATCAAGACCTGGGGCTTAGCTCATTCAGCACCCCCTGCCCAGCCAGCACCCCTCAACCTCACACCTACCCAACATTCCAGACAACTGCTCAAGTTCAGTGGGAAAAAACCCACAGCCCATCTATCATACATACATACACCAGTATCAAATTCCTTGACAGTTCCACCACAGTATTTTCTCATACCATGGCCTTTGTTGCACCCCCTACCAGGAACACCTTGTCCAATTCTTGCTGATTACAAAATCTCCTTCAATTTCAATTGTTTACCTTTATCAGAAAATCTTCTTTCATAACCTTTAACTACAACTACATGGCCCTCTTGTTCTTTTATTTTTTTTAAAGATTTATTTATTTATTCATGAGAGACAGAGAGAGAGGCAGAGACACAGGCAGAGGGAGAAGCAGGCTCCCTGTGGGGAGCCTGATGTGGACTAAATCCCAGATCCTGAGATCACACCCTGAGCTGAAGGCAGACGCTCAACCGCTGAGGCACCCAGGTGTCCCTCTCTTGCGCTTTCAAAAGTATCCTTTACATAATTCATAATGTCATGTATTTCAAGGAATAGGACTGTAAATTCAATTTACAATGCCATTAAGTCTAGGCCCCAAGTAATATCAATGGTTCCAAGATGTATAGTAAAACTTCTGAAATGATTATCTCAGAGCTAAAGCAAAGATCCTGGCAGCGAGCTGATTTCTCATGTCAATGCTGGTAGTGTCCTCCACATTCCCTTTCATGCAATGTTCTGCTCAAAAGGTCTATTTTGGAGCTAGGCAGGAGGTAATTTTACTGTACATTCATGAATTCATCAAATAGTTACTGAATGTTTACAGTGACTATAATAAAGTGAACAAAGCAAATACTGTTTCTGCCTTCAAGAAAATATCATTCTAGCAAGAAAGACATTGAACTAAGTTATAAAATCAATAGTTTAATTACAAATGTTGTTAAGTTATGTGAGGGAGATATACAGACTATTAAATCCAGGGGTCAGTCCCCATCTTATAAGAACTATCAGCAGCAGAGCAGCCAGGGTGGCTCAGTGGTTTAGCACCGTCTTCAGCCCAGGGCCTGATCCTGGAGACCCAGGATCGAGTTCCACGTCGGGCTCCCTGCATGGAGCCTGCTTCTCCCTCTGCCTGTGTCTCTGCCTCTCTCTCTCTCTGTCTCTCATGAATAAATAAATAAAATCTTAAAAAAAAAAAAAAAAACCTGCAATCTATCCTTCCAGTACCTGAGACTCCCAATTCCCCTTACTTTGTTCCATTTTTTTCCTATTAGATTACCACTGTCTACATACTTTACTATTATGTTAACCATCTATTGTATCTCTCCCAATTAAACTCTAAGTTCCAAAAGGATACAGCTTGTCTGTTCTGTTCTCTGATGTATATTAAACAACTAGAACAGAGCTTGGCACATAATAGGTGTCTAATAATTATCTGTTGTATGAATAAAATCTAAAATTCTTAAGAGTCAGACTAGGCTGTTTCTAACTTTGTTAACCCAGGGTCCCAAAGACCAAAAGGTTAGGGGAGTAGAGCTGAGGAGGGAAAGACTAAGTGCAGATGACGGTAACCACTCTAAATAGTAAACTTTCATTCATGTTAGTACCCCTTAATATCTTATACTCAGGTAGACAATAAATTACCCTTGGAAGCATAACGAATAAATAGTGCAGAGAACTGTACCTGGCATATAAAGATGTTTGGAAGATGAATGAATAGAAACAACAAGTAACATAACAGAGGTACAAAAAAATGGGAAAATACTGTTAGGACTTTGTATCTGGGAGACCTCCCTTTCTAACTGCCTGCCTGAGTCTCACTACCGACAACAGCAAAGTCTGCAGTGGGAGGAGGAGGAGGCTGAGAAGGGAGAGAAGCAAAGTAAGTTGAAGAAGAACAGCACAGTAAAGCGTGAGCTTTTTAAAGTTTTTAACTGTGATCCATAATCAGTAATACTTTTTACCAATATTACTAAGAGTACATAATACCTACATAAACACTCACAAATACATATATGTTCGTTTGTATATGAAACAATAGTATCAGCAATGCCCCCTAATATTTTCTATCTTATTCCATTAGAAATAAAACAACAAAATTCTGGCTGCTACCTTCTAACTCAATTTCACAATCCACAAAATTGATTTCATGACTCGCCAATGAGTCTTGACATGTACTTTGGAAAACAGCATAGAAGCACTTTTTCACTTTCACCTTTTGCCCCACTGCAAAGATTATCACTCCAGAAAATCTTTAAAGAACTGTGTCTACCATGGAAACATAAAGGAAATGAAAAAGCAATAATACATGGTTCTAATTCCACAGTGGGCCAGGGAAGAAAGAAATCTCAAATAGCAGAAGAAAACAATTTTTAAAAATTTATTCTTGGAGGGGATCCCTGGGTGGCTCAATGGTTAAGCGCCTGCCTTCGGCCCAGGGCGTGATTCTGGAGTCCCAGGATCGAGTCCCACATCAGGCTCCCTGTATGGAGCCTGCTTCTTCCTCTGCCTGTCTCTCTGCCTCTCTCTCTCTCTCTCTCTCATGAATAAATAAAATCTTAAAAAAAAAATTGATTATTGGAGCCCTTAGAAGAAAAGTGGGGACTACAGAGGTGGTTGCAACAGCTATATTCTCCTAAAAGTTACATTAGCAACACGCCCCCATGCTCCATACATTCTCACCCACAGCCCCTCATTTCCCTGCCATCAATACTACAGGTCATTGGCCCTTTCACTTCTGCTTGAAGCTGACGAAACCCCTTCACCCTGCAGACAGCAGATGGGAATAAGATAAAAAGAAATCCCTCAAATGTCCCTAAAGTAGAACTCTGGGTTAGTTTCACACTGTTATATGTCACAACTCAGTTCAAGAGTACCCCTAACACTATAAAATGCTGGATTAAATGGGTTTCATGGCCAACTCTTACCAACCTAGTCATCTATTTGTTGAAAAGGCTAAAAAAGTATCCACAATGCCCTGCACAGTGTCTGCCACATGGTAACTGTCCAATAAATATCTGTTGAGCAACAAATGAATAAACAATATTCCAGAAGGAAAAATAAGAATAAACAACATAAACATCCTTAGACAATAAAGAAACATGTTAAAAGTCACAAGGGGGAAGAGATCTGGAAAACCAGAATGTTGGAAATTCTATAAATGACCTGGTTTTTCAAGAAATCAGTGGCAAGGAAAAAAAATTAAAAGTGTAACTACTATAAGTGAAAAAACATACCAAACAGACGTACTGTGTTAAACTTGTTTACATCCTGATTTGAATAACCAACTGCAGAAAAAATATCTGATCACGTGGATGGAGCTGGAGAATATAATGCTAAGTGAAATAAGTCAGTCAAATAAAGACAAATACCGTATCATTTCACTCAAGTGGAATTAAAGAAAACAAATGAGTAAAACATGGGGAAAAAAAGAGACAAACCAAGAAACACTCTTAAAAAAAAGATTTTTAAAAAAATTTTATTTATTTACTCATAAAAGATGCACAGAGAGAGGCAGAAACATAGGCAGAGAGAGAAGCAGGCTCCGTGCAAAGAGCCCCATGTAGGACTTGATCCAGGCATCCCAGGATCACGCCCTGAGCTGAAGGCAGACGCCCAACCGCTGAGTCACCCAGGCATCCCAATTTTATTTATTTATTTGACAGAACACAAGAGAGAGGGAGAGGGAGAAGCAGACTCCCCACTGAGCAGGGAGCTCGATGTGGAGCTTGGTCCCAGGACCCTGGGCTCATGACCTGAGTCCAAGGCAGATGCTTAACCATCTGAGGCACCCAAGTCCCAAGAAATAGACTTTCAGGTATACAGAACAAACTGATTGTTAATAAAGGGGGATCTGGGTGATGGGATGGGTAAAAAGTGAAGCAGATTAATAAGAGTACATGAATCTAATTTTTAAAAAGATTTTATTTATTTATTTGAGAGAGACAGAGATAGTGACAGGGAGCACAAGTGGGGGAGAAGAAGGAGAAGCTGGCTCCCTGCTCAGAGGGACTTGGGACTTGATCCCAGGACTCCAGGATCACGACCTGAGCAGAAAGCAGATGCTTTGCCGACTGAGCCACACAGGTGCCCCAAGAGTACACTTATTTTGATGAGCACTGAGTACTGTAGAGAACTGTTTAGTTACTATACTGAACACCTGAAACTAATGTAATAAATGTTAACTATACTGGAAATAAAATAAAAAAACTTAATTTAAAATAAAACAGATAGGTAAGTATAGTAGTTGTCTATAACTTTAATATCCAAAAGCACTTCTATACCCTAGCCACCAACAGAAAATAGAATTTTTAAAAAAACATACCATCTAGAATTGTGGTTGCCCCAAGATGAGACTTTTAAAATTATTAGAATACTTTTCCTTCCCCTATTTTCTTATGCTTGTATTAGCCCTTCAGAATTCAATTACTTCCATATTTCACCCTCCTCCAACTTCTAAGTTTTAAAAAGAGAGTTTCGGGGGCACCTGGGTGGTACAGTCAGTTGAGTGTCTAGTTCTTGATTTTGCCCAGGTCATGATCTCAGGGTTGTGAGATTTAGCCCCAAGTCAGGCTCCTTGCCCAGCAGCTTAAGATTCTCTCTTCCTCTCCTTCTGCCCCCGTCTCCCCACCACACTCATGCAGGCATTCATGCTGGCTTGTGTGCATGCCCCCACAAGCTCGTTCTCTCAAAAAAGTTTAACCTTTTAAAAAACTTGTTTAACTTATTTCCCCTCTATCCAAGATGTACCTCAAAAGTGTCAAGGGCAATAAATGAGAATCCAGTAACTGAATTTTTTAAGTACATACCTGTTTTAGGCCATAACGCATTGACTGCAATTTCACCCTTAAATTCTTCTGCCATCCCAAGCACACACATAGACATACCATACTTAGCAATGGTATAAGCTGAAAGAAACCACAAAGAATAGTACTTAATTAAGAAACTAATTTGTGAGTATCAATAACCACTTTCTATGGCTATACTGCTAGTAAAATAAGAACAAAAAGTTGAAAATTTGTTTAACCTAGTCAATCAAAACAGAACTTTCGGTTTTGCCCTGTGGCTTTCTATTCCAATTACCTGTCCAAATTTTAGTGAATTATGTACAAAGGAGGAATATCTGATGTAACTATTTTAAAGGAGGCACCTCTATATAAATCTTGCAATTTAATGCATACTCACCTCAAATCATTAGTTTGCGGTGAAAGAAAAAGTACTTCATAGTTTCTAACCAACTTCATTGGAGAATAAGTTAAATACAATAAAACACACCCACTGGGACTTGAGGGAGCTTTCTGGAATGATGGAAATCCGTAACTTGATTTGGGTATTGGTTATACACGTATATTCATTTGTCAAAACTTACCAAACTTAGCCATTAATATAGGTGCATGCTATTGAATGTAAGTTAAAACCTCAATATTTTAAATTATAGGTAAAAGATTAAGAATCTAGTTTCCAATGTGCTGATTCTGCATAGAAAATTTAATGTTGAATGCTATGTAAAAATGGGATTACATTATAGATACACTGATTTAACACAAAACGAATTAACCAAACAAATCATCCCCTCAACATACCACCTACCACAGTGCTGTTTGAACCACATTGGATTTAGGTTCAGTGGTGGGCTGAGATTGAGGATATGAGCAATTTTACTCTTTTTCAAATAAGGAATGCATGCTTTAGATCTAAAAGCAAAAGAAAACACATCAAGTTAATAGCTTTCTAGCAACTTCCCCACTTCAAAATTATATTCTATTTTTATTTTCAAAGGTTTTATTTGAGAGAGAGTGTGCATGAGTAGAAGGGCAGAGGGAGAGGGAGAATCTCAAGTAGACTCCCTGCTGAGCACAGAGCCTGATGCAGGGGCTCCATCTCAGGACTCCAAGATCATGACCAGAGCCAAAACCAGAAGTCAGATGCTTAACCAACTGAGCGACCCAGGCGCCCCTAAAATTATATTTTAAAGTACTTCTACAAAGCAACTAAACGTGGTCAGGAATCTGTAGGGTACTTTTGTGTTTACTTTTCTAGAATGAAGGTAGGAAAAGCAATAATTTTCATTCTTCGAAATTCTGCTTAATGGCCTGACAAAATGATCTGATGAATAAAAATACTCAAATCCTTGGCAGATTAGCCTTAAATTCAACTGAGGTTACTTTCAACTACATCTTTCCAATTCTCCTCCCAAGAGATAAATACGTGCGTGCATGTGCACTCATAATTTTCAGTGAGTTAATGTCCCTGCCAACAGCATGGGCAGTACTGTGGGTTCAAATCCTCTTTCTTCCCCTTCATTGGGTAATCTTAGGCAACATATATTCTATTCTAATTCTCAGTTTTCTCATCAGTAAATGTTGGTAATACCTGCTACCATGTATGACTGACCAAAGGATTAAAATGAGATGATAAACAGGAAATACTTAAAAGAGTGCACATGTTAAACATGAAATAAACAACTGCTGTTATTAGTATTACATATGCTACTGGCTTATCTCATCTTAGTAGGTGTGGTTGGTATTCCTACTATTCCGGGACTGTAATTTAATAACACAACTCCTAATACATTCCCAAATTTAACTTGTACCAATATGCAATACAGTATGCCTTTGGGCATACTGCATATAAAAACTTAGCTTTTATGTGTTTTTTTTAAGAAACTGTTCAAAAAAGCAGGCAATTAATTTTTTTTAAACTCAGGTTCAATATTTTTAATTAATTAATTAATTAATTTTAAAGATTTTATTTATTTATTTATGATAGACATAGAGAGAGAGAGAGAGGCAGACACAGGAGGAGGGAGAAGCAGGCTCCATGCTGGGAGCCTGACGTGGGACTCAATCCCGGGACTCCAGGATCGTGCCCTGGGCCAGAGGCAGGCGCCAAACCGCTGAGCCACCCAGGGATCCCATATTTTTAATTTATTAATTATTAAACTACATTGTGTTATTAAACTAGAGCATATTGTACCTTAAAAATTGTATAGCCTTAAAGTATTTGAAGTAGAAAGAGAAAAAAAGGAAAAAAATACTAGCTTTTAGTTTTATTTCACATTCAATTATTTCTAGGACTTTTTTTTTTTTTTTTTTAATTCATGATAGGCACACAGTGAGAGAGAGAGAGGCAGAGAAACAGGCAGAGGGAGAAGCAAGCTCCATGCACCGGGAGTCCGATGTGGGACTCGATCCCGGGTCTCCAGGATCGCGCCCTGGGCCAAAGGCAGGCACTAAACTGCTGTGCCACCCAGGGATCCCCTATTTCTAGGACTCTGAACTAGTTGATTCTTCTCCTGTCAGTTTTTTTATTAACTAATGTACAACATTCTTACTACCATCTGCAAGGTCTTTTCAGGTCTAGAAACCATATACAATCAACATCACTAAAGGGTTTTTTTATACATATTGTTTTTTCTTTCCAGAAGTGTTTCACTTTCATGGGGGTAAGCTGGGGAGAGGCAAACATTATTACAGCTGACATTCATTAAAACAATGAAGCTGCACCTCAAAATTTCAACAGGAAAAATCAAATCTATTCCAGGCAAAAAGACCATGACTACATTTTACATCCAAGGAAAAAGCTCATTTCATTTACATTATAAACATGGGTTTCTCCTTTGATCTATCTGACAAAACCTTTCTACCTGCACTCTGCCTGCCTGACCCTCAGCATTACTAATCCTAAATCAGCTGCATTTTTAATAGCATCATGGCCAATTTTACATTTTAAAGACCATTAGAACCACACTTAAATACTAATAGTTTCAGCTAAATAGTTAAACTTACTGAAAATTTACTGTGGGCTAGGCACTGCACTTATTTCTATTACATAATTATTTTACTTAATTAGAGTTATAAGCTCAAATGCCTATGGGACATTTGAGTAAATGAATAAAGTGAGCTGGGTACAGGAAAAAAAACTGTTCAGAAATACAATTAAAGTTTATTACTGAATTTCTGTAAGTATCTAACATGATACAAACACATATAACACTAGAGGTTCTGTATTTAATTAAAACTTAAAAACACAAACTAAGGGTTTGCCTTCTACCTCATCTCTGCCTTCCAACTCTGTTTCTCTAAACCTGTGACACAAGTCACAGGGCCCTGGGTGCCAGGAATCAGGAAATAGCTCTAGATCCTTGCTGAAACCTCCCAAAAGGTCAGTTCTTTGGGCCTTTCCCCCATGCTCTCCCTGACGGTACTCCTCAAGCTTGCCTGAGAAAACAATCTATGCTTCCCTCCATGAATATATGGGTGTCACCAAATAAAAACAAAATGTTTACCAATTTTCTTTTATTTTTAAAGGTATGTATGTATGTATGTATGTATTTACTTATTTATTTATTTCAGAGACAGCATGAGCAGGGCCCAAGGACAGACACCCCTCAATTTACTCTTTAATACCTTATAACTTTCACATAGAACCAAAAACCGGCCACTTTTTCTTTGATCCAAAGGTCAACAGCAGGTCTTTCTTTTGTCATTGCAATATGCCTTTAACTGGGAAAAATATTTAGTTACGGGGTAACTGGCTGTCTCAGTTGGTAGAGCATGTGACTCTTGATGTCAGGGTCATGAGTTCAAGCCCCATGTTGGGTGTGAGCCTACTTTAAAAACAACAGGGGGCAGCCCTTATGGCTCAGCGGTTAGGCGCCGCCTTCAGCCCAGGGTGTGATCCTGGAGACCTGGGATCGAGTCCTGCATCAGGCTCCCTGTGTGGAGACTGCTTCTCCCTCTGCCTGTGTCTCTGCCTCTTTCTCTCTCTCTCTCTCTCTCTCTGCATCTCTCATGAATAAATAAATAAAATCTTAAAAAAAAAACTCCTAAAATTAAAAAACAAAACTGTTCCTAAATAGAGGAGCTTTCAACAACGAATAGAATTTTTGCTTTTAAAAAGAGTTTTAATTTTAGGGTAACTACTCCAGAGATATTTGTAGATCTGCTACTTCAATGTACTCATATTTAGTTTTTAGTACATGAATGCCCTATGGCTTATATGTTCCATCTATAATTCTCCAACTACACAAACAGTATTCATTGAGAAAGGTACCTGAACAAGGTTAGTTCATTTGCTCATAGTTTGAAATCAGGGTGGGTTTTTTTTTTTTTTTTTTTTTTTTTGCTTTGTTTGGAACTGAACCTTCAAACCTGACAACTGCAGAAATGTAGTTTAAGCCATCAGTTTCATTCTTGGAAAACGATCATGGTACAGGAAAGGGGCCAGGTTGTTCTTGCCAAACAGGCTTTCCAAAGACAGAATTTCACAAGGAATGAGCAATGAGAATCAGACATTTGTGTTTATGTTAGTCATAATGTCAACTGAAAAAACTAAGTCTTTGATCCAATCTTTGTATGGGAATTGAGTTGGGAATTCTCTCATGGGTGACAAAAAGAGTTGATTTCTTTCAAATTAAAACTAAAATCTCTTCAACAATATATCATAGCCACATAATCTTATAACAGAGCAGATGATCATGTTTGTAGTCCATATCAGTAAAGCATTTAACTGTGGTTCAAACCAAAGAAATGCATTTAGTCCTTAAAATTCATAACATAGTCCATTTTTAACTTTTTATCAAGAGCAATTCCCAATGAACAATATGATGAACAAAATTATTTCTGCATTTCTGTGAAACATTTCTACATTAGTTTAGTAAGTTTAAAGCTAACACTGCCATTAGAGCTTAAAGTTAACACTGACCATTGCAATAGCGCTGTCTATAGTTATGTTACCACAATTTTGACAAATCTACATTAAACATCCTTTTTTTAAAATTTTATTTATGATAGTCACAGAGAGAGAGAGGCAGAGACAACAGGCAGAGGGAGAAGCAGGCTCCATGCACCGGGAGCCCGATGTGGGATTTGATCCCGGGTCTCCAGGATCACGCCCTGGGCCAAAGGCAGACGCTAAACCACTGCGCCACCCAGGGATCCCCTACATTAAACATCCTAAGACATTTCTCAACATTTAAGAAGTCACTTCCATGCTCATGTCATGAATACTAGTCTAAAAGTGTTTTTAATCACATCAAAATTGTGCCAATACCTTAAATAAATAAAACTTGGTGAGTAGAATATTTAGATCTGTGGCTCCATCATTTAAAATCGAAATTACCTCAAATGATTTAACTTTCACAAATCATGTCCTTCTAAGCTTTAATTCAACATGCTGAGCGACAGTTAGGTTAGGTTTATATTTTTAAATGCTTGTCTAAATGAGTGTTTATATTTAATCAAAATTCTTTCACAAAGTTACCATCTGTAAAAGATTTTGAGGCCCAGTTTCTTCATGTAACACATGACTGCATCACAGAGCAGCACTGCTTATTTTATTTGAATATAAACACAAATCCTATTGAAGTGTTAGTCCTTTTTCTACTTAAGTTTTTCACCACAATCTTTTCTGTATGTTTGCCATAGTTCTTAACTGTGGTTTGATTCACTGTGGTTTCCATTCAAAAACGAAATATACTTTACATAACGAATTTATAAAAATATGCCCCACATCTATAAAGAAGTAAGCTCTCACTCATTTTACTTGAACATATGGCCCTCTTGGCATATGTCTCATTTTCTCACTTCAGACAGACACATGGGTAATATTTTACTTCCCTCTTTAAGAAAAACAGAAGGACAAGCACACAAGAAGATGAAAATGGTCTGTCCTCAGCTTCAGGTGTCTATTAATCACACTGTAATGTAACAAAAGGCTAATTAATGCTAATGCCTGTAATGAGGCAGTTGATACTCTGCCACTCAGCTATAGCAGCTAACTGCTGCCACGTGGCTGTGCTGCAGCCAGGTTTTCCAACATTTCAAGAAAGCCACAATTCCAGATTTTTGTGTAAATCTGATCATTTTCATATGGGCAACTAATAAAATTCTGAACTAATAAAGGAGCTAGTAAAAACACATTGTTTCACGTTGTGAGGGCCCAGTTTTGCAGACCCAACAAAATAGATTTCCAGACTAACAACAAATTTTACATTTAATCCTCATGGCCAACCCTATGACTTACTTCATCATCCCATTTTAACAAATGAGGAAACGGAATCTGCAAGAAGTTACCTGCACAAAGTCATAGATAACACATACTCAAAGGAGTCTAACTCCAAAGCCCAAGGTCCTTTAACCACCGATTCTATGTATACATGTGAAGCAAATACACAGAAGATACATACAAAGCAGACAAACAAGTTCTATGCTAATCTTTCCTTACATCCACATGAAAAAAATGACAGAACCTGAGGGTAAATAAACAGATAAAAAATGGACAAAAAAGGGGCAGCCCAGGTGGCTCAGCGGTTTAGCGCCATCTTCAGCCCAGAGCGTGATCCTGGAGACCCGAAGATGGAGTCCCATGTTGGGCTTCCTGCGTGGAGCCTGCTTCTCCCTCTGCCTGTGTCTCTCCCTCTCTCTCTCTGTCTCTATGAATAAATAAATAAAATCCTAAAACAAAAATTTTAAAAATGGACAAAAAAGAGTGGGCTGTCTGGAGGCATAAGGGTGGCTCAGTCAGTTAAGCATCTGTTTTTAGCTCAGGTCACAATTCTGGGGTCCTGGGATGAGCCCGGCATGGAGCTCCCTGCTCAGCGGGAGCCTGCTTCTCCTTCTCCCTCTGCCTCTCTCCCTCTGTCTCTCATGAATAAATAAAATCTTAAAAAAACAAACAAAACAAGTAGATTGATCAATCCAGAACAGATTGAGACTACATTTGGTCTCATTCTGTATTCTCTATTTCCTGATATTCCTGAAGACAGCATTAGCCTTTTGTTACATTAAAATATGATTCACAAACACTTAAAACTAACATAATACTATATGTTAACTATACAGGAATTAAAATTAAAAATAGTAAAATTGAAAAAAAAAATGTGATTCATAATGAGGTTCCTGTTATTTACATAACTACAACCAGTGTTTTTCAGAGGAAGGAAAGACTACTGCTGATTTGAATAATCAGAAGAGTTGTTATGTATGTATATATTGATTCATGCAAATGTTTGAAAATGCTTGAGCTATAGGCTTTATTAAATTCATAGAGAAAAAGGGCTCTGAATAAAACTATTTAAGATTTTATTTATTTATTCATGAGAGATACAAAAAGACAGGCAGAGACATAGACAGAGGGAGAAGCAGGCTCCCCATGGGAAGCCTGATGTGGGACTCGATCCCAGGACCCCGGGATCACAACCTGAGCCAAATGCAGAGAAATGCTCAACCACTGAGCCACCCAGGTACCTCTGAATCAAACTATTTAAAATACCATTTACTGGGGCACCTGAGTGGCTCAGTTGGTTAAGCATCTGCCTTCAGCTTACATCATAATCCCTGGGTCCTGGAATGGAGCCCCACAATGGGCTCCCTGCTCAGCGGGGAGTCTGCTTCTCCCTCTCTCCCAACCCCTCCCTGCTGTGCACACACGCTCTCGCTCTCTAATGTATAAATTTTTTAAAAAATCTTAAAAACAAAATAAAATACCATTTACTGATTTGGAGCACTTTTAGTCCTTTATAATAACTGACTAGGTTTTATTCATTCATTCATTTATTTTTAAATATTTATTTATTTGAGAGAGAGAATGCATGTATGTGTGAGAGCATGAGCTTGCGTACCCAGCAGGGAGGAGTAGAGGGAGAAGAAGTGAGAGTCTGAAGCAGTCTCCATGCTGAGCACAGAGCCCATCATATGGGGCTTGATCTCATGACCCTGAGATCAGGACCTGAGCGGAAACCAAGAGTCGGGACACTTAACCGACCTTACCATCCAGGTGCTCCATAAATGACTAGGTTTTAAGCTGTATTATTATTCTGGTGCAAATCTGTTTACAACTAGTGCTCTGAGAACACACTATAAGGTTCTCCCCAACCACTCTAACTTACGTCAGATAGGTGCCTCTGGTGTTGACATTCATCATCAAATCGACTCTCTTCGTAGGTGTTTCCAATGTGTTGGTCAAGCTAATAGCACTGGCATTATTCACCAAAATATCAATTCCTGTTTTCAAATAATAAATTTCCTGTTAACATAATTTAATCTTTATAACAGAAGAACATTTATTCTATATAGTTGAACCCTAAGCTGGTTCGCAAATACTTCTTTTAGATAATAAGACCAACCCACCAATGCAAGACCTGATGATTTTCACTAACAAAATGGAGAAAGCCAACTACCAGAACTCCATGTGAAAATATGAGGAGGATTGATCCTTGGTAGTTTGTAGCTTCCATTTCTACTTGTTCTCTTACCTTCTGGTCTTCCCTCCTTGCCTACAAGAACCTTAAGTTAATTGCCTTAAAACCTTCCCTCCTCCCTAGCATCTTTCCAAGGCCTTCTCTCCTTCCAAGCTTACTTCCAAGGTCTCCCTTCTCTCTAAGACACTTATTTAAATAAAAGGGGTCCTTCCTGGCCTTGGGAACTGGGAAAAGAGAAAAGACCTAGAGTGAATTTTCAATTCTAGGCAAATCATCAAAGTTTAAGTAATTCATACACAAAATAAAATTAATCTAGAATAATCATTATTTATGCATATTCTGTTACAGTCTCTCTATATGTAACATTTTGTTTAAAAGTTTGGTTACAAGTTTTGTTAAAAAATGTTAAATGAATATAGTAAAATATAAAAGTATCTTAAACACTTCTATTTCTACATGTTTCATAATTCTTTTTAAAGGGCACTTAAGGGCAGCTGGGTGGCTTAGCGGTTTAGCGCCGCCTTCAGCCCAGGGCATGATCCTGGAGACCTGGGATGGAGTCCACATCAGGCTCCCTGCATGGAGCCTGCTTCTCCCTCTGCCTGTGTCTCTGCCTCTCTCTTTCTCTGTCTCTAATAAATAAAATATTTTAAATAAATAAATAAATAGCTAGCATTTAATATTCCATCAAATAAAAATATGACAACTTCTGCTGGGGTTACACCATTGCAATAAACATTTTTTGTTATCCTCTTAACTTTGCCATGCCTCTCTCTCACAATATGTAGATAATCGTATAAATAAGGCTGTTATACTCACTATAACATTTTAGTCATAAGTACCCTTTCTTCATATGTAGTATTTTAAAATCTTCATCACATTTTCAGTCCCCAATTTCTATATTCTTTTGTATAAAGTCTGTGTTGCTAATACTTTAAAATGTGTCCTTTGAATAACTTTGGATTCAATCAACTATATTACATTGTACAGCTGTTATAACAAAACTCAAGTAAATCACCTGTATATCTGAGATGAGTTCTAAATCCTGTGACTACCAACTTTTTAGAATGAACATAATGAAAGTTGCCTTCCCAAGTAGCAAAGACCTGTGAAAATAATTTTTGAATCCAGACTACCCATGTTCCTGAATGAAAGCTCTTTGGATGGGATAAAACAGAGAAAGAAAATTGGAAAGCAGAAATTTCTGGGCTTTAATTCTTCCAAGATATTTCAATTTGGGTCCTTAAGTTCTCTGTGGTAACAAGAAGAAATTAATTTTTGAGATTTCAGGACACCTGGGTGGCTCAGCAGTTTAGCGCCTGCCTTCGGCCCAGGGTGTGATCTGGAGTCCCAGGATCGAGTCCCACACTGGGCTCCCTGCATGGAGCCTACTTCTCCATCTACCTATGTCTCTGCCTCTCTGTTTCTCGTGAATAAATAAAATCTTTAAAAAATAATAATTTTTGAGACTTCAATTTCTCTGTAAGAGCCCAATACTGGCAAGTGGAGGTACTTTCCATTTGGACACTCTAGCATGTTACTCGGCTTTGCCATCATGTACTATATAATGTATAACTTTTTGGTGACCCAGTATAGACAGTACAGCTAGAATTCAAGATGGGAAGTCAAACAGGGGGTGAATTCTAGGCCTGTATAACTTTTTTGAGTATCTTTTATGTCCTGTCTTGACGCAATTCAGAGGTTTCTTGGGACAATCCTGACAATATTTGAACTGCTCACATTCTCCAGAATTATAGGAAAGAAGGAAGGATAGTAGGGCTTAGACAAAGGTGGTGGCAGCCCCTTCCCCCATAACTGATGATCTCATTCTCCTGGAAGGATAAACTTACCCTCAGTTGATGCACACAATGGATCAACAGAAAAAAATAACGCTGAATGATTATAGAGAAAGGTAAAGCCCCTATCTACCCCATCTTCTTTCTCCCTTAATTCTTCCCTAGAAATGTTTAAATAAGGTCAAATCTTAATTAACACTAATTGGTCACTTTTACTAGCAGGTGAAGTCATTTTAGATAAAAGGTCCTGCACATGAATGTGGCTTCCTCTCCCTTTCTCTTCCACACTTGTGGTCCCATCAGTAAGAAAAAAGCAATTTTACATTCTCTCTCCTCTTCTCACATGGGCATTCACATTACTTTGTCAGCTAGGGGTAAGACTTTGGATTTTTTTTTAAAGATTTTTATTTATTTGAGAGACAGAGAAACACCTGCACATACTTGCAGAAGTGGGGCGGGGGGGGGGCGTGGAGGGAGGGGGCACAGAAAGAGAGGGAGAAATAGACTCCCCACTGAGCCAGGAACCAATATGGGGCTTGACCTGAGCCCACCTGAGCCACCCAGGCACTCTAAGACTCTGGATTTAAAGATAGTGGCCCCACTTGAGGCAAAACTCTGTGCTCCAGTCATTCATTCATTCATTCATTCATTCATTCATTCATTTTTCCCAGTCATTTATAACACAGCACTCTGCACCAAAGATTATAAGCACAAGCCATGCTAACAATAAAATATCTCTTTTCCCCACTGGTCACTATCTTTCACATGTACATACATATAGTCTCTGCAATATTATGGGAGGAACAGGGAAGAGTGGCAACAGTTTGGGCAGGATTTGGACACAGCCAGGTACCTTGCTATAATATCATTAAAGCTTTAGCTCAACCCCCAACACCTGCCTTGTAAAAATTTATGAACTAATTGAGGACAAAAAATACTAAGATCTAAAGTAGTTTAACAGGGGCACCTGGGTGGCTCAGTCAGCCAAGCATCCTACTTTTGATTTTAGCTCAGGCCAGGATCTCATGGTTGTGAGATCAAACCCCACGTCAGGCTCCACCCTCAGTGGGGAGTCTGTTTGAGATTCTCTCTCTCTCTCTCTCGCCCCTCCCCCTCTCTAAAATAAAAAATCTTTAAAAAAAATAGTACAAGGATCAAAGGCATGTTTTAGGAATTCAGAGAAAGAAAAATACACTTCTGATTAGTTGGCATGGTGAGGAAATTGGCTTCATGAAGGAGATGAGATTTAACCACAGAAAGGTGGGATTTCAAAAGATAAAAAAGGGAACATTTCAGGCAGGACTGGAGATGTAGAGATGGGCACTAAAGACGACTCAGGATGGGGAAGAGAAAAAGTTAAGAGGCAAAAACTTCAAGGCAAGGATAAGGAAGTAAACTATTTGGGGAAGAATAAAGTGTTTATATAGGGGCAGAGAAAAAAGAGGGGACCAAAAAGTGTTGAGATCAGAACATAAAATATCTTGAATGCCAGTAGGTTATCTACACTTTATCCAATAAATCTCAGAAAGTTATCAAATGATGGTTACATTAATTAAAGAGAGGCAAGAGGATGTGATCTAACCAAACTAGTTGGTTAGATATGTTATTGTCAGGGCCTAACCTTATTTTGAATGGTGGATGTGTTGTATTATTCAAAATAATTTTTATCAACAACAAAGTCATCAGATGGTTTTAAGCTGCATCTCTACATAAGCAAATACTCATTATCTGGTTATACTCCAAAGACTAAGGAGATTAAGACAATTTTTTAAAATGTATAGTTACAATATTCAATAATTATTTCAGAATTAAGGCACTACCTCCAAATCGCTCCACTGCTTTCTCCACTGCATTACTGATTTGCTGTTCATCTCTCACATCAACAGCACATGGCAAGGCCTTTCCTCCAGCTGCTTCAACTACAAAGGATAAACAAACAAAAAAGCACTGAGGCATTCAAATACTAAACTTTTCATTTTAATATGAATCAAATAAGCACCTTATTTTCAGAAAACCAATAAAAATAACTATGTTCTTACAACTACTAGTGACTCCACCCCAGAGTAGAACAGACTAATCCATATCTAGCCTCAGACTACAGAGACCAACTCTATTTAAAAAATGAGAAAAAGGGAGGGGAGTGTCAGGGTGGCTCTTGGTTTCAGCTTGGGTCATGATGTGATGGGTCATGGAACAAGCCCTGCTCAGAATCAATGCTCAGCAGGGAGTCTGTTTGAGGATTCTCTCTCTCTCTACCTCTTCCCCACTCTCATGAGCTCTTTCCCTAAAATAAATAAATAAATCTTTAAAAAAACAAAAAATAAAAAATAAAAAGGTAATTTTAAAAAATTATATTAAAAGCTAAGAAAAAAAGGAAGTTGGGACGCCCGCCTGGGTGGCTCAGCGGTTGAGAGTCTGCCTTCAGCTCAGGTCATGACCCTGGAATCCCAGGATGGAGTCTCACATCGGGCTCCCTGCATGGAGCCTGCTTTTTCCCTCTGCCTGTGTCTCTGCCTCTGTGTGTGTGTGTGTGTGTGTCTCATGAATAAATAAGTAAAATCTTAAAAAAAAAAACAATAATTGAAAAAAGAAAAAAGGAAGTTAATTTTAAAAACCTTTATCATGGGGGATCCCTGGGTGGCTCAGCGGTTTCGCATCTGCCTTTGGCCCAGGGCGCGATCCTGAAGTCCCGGGATCCAGTCCCATGTCAGGCTCCCGGCATGGGCTTGCTTACCCCTCCTCCTGTGTCTCTGCCTCTCTCTCTCTCTATCATGAATAAATCTTTAAAAAATAAAATAAAATAAAAATAAAAATAAAAACCTGTATCATGAAATTTCAAGATATATGCAAAAACATGAAGAAGAGTATAATAAATTACCATTAATCTATCACCTATCTTCAATGATTGTCAATGCTCTGACAGTTTTTAAAAGATTTATTCATTTCATTTTTTTTAAAGATTTTATTTATTTATTCATGAGAGACACACACACAAAGAGAGAGAGAGAGGCAGAGACACAGGCAGAGGGAGAAGCAGGCTCCACACAGGGAGCCTGATGTGCGACTCGATCCTGGGACTTCAGGATCACGCCCTGGGCCAAAGGCAGGCACCAAACTGCTGAGCCACCCAGGGATCCCCTATTTATTCATTTCAGAGAGAGAGAGAGAGTGCACAAGAATGAGCAAGGGGAGGGGGAGGGGGAGAAGCAGACTCCCTGCTGAGCAGGAAACCTAATGTGGGAAAAAGCCAAAAGCAAATGCTCAACCAACTGAGCCACCCAGGGGCCCCTTGTTTAATTTATTTTTACCCCCAATCCTGTTTTTTTTCCCCCCAATCCTGTTTTTGGCTGGTGTGTATTTTAAAACAAATCCCAGGGCACCCCCGGTGGCACAACGGTTTAGCGCCGCCTGCAGCCCGGGGTCTGATCCTGGAGACCCGGAATCGAGTCACGCGTCGGGCTCCCTGCATGGAGCCTGCTTCTCCCTCTGCCTGTGTCTCTGCCTCTCAGTCTCCCTCTCTCTCTCTGAATAAATAAATTAAAAAAATAAAAAATAAATAAAAATAAAAAAATCCCAGGTATCATCTTATTTATAAATACCTCATATGTGTTCCCCTAACATAACCATGATGCTATTAACATGACTAACAAAACTAGCAATATTAACTGAAGTTGAATTTTTTTTTAAAGATTTTATCTATTTATTCATAAGAGACACAGAGAAAGAGAGAGAGAGGCAGAGACACAGGCAGAAGGAGAAGCAGGCTCCATGCAGGGAGCCTGATGTTGGACTTGATCCTGGGTCTCCAGAATCCACACCCAGGGCTGCAGGTGGCGCTAAACCACTGTGCCACCAGGGCTGCCCTTGAAGTTGAATTTTAAGCCCTCCTTCCTGATACTATGCTAGCGCACAATGCCTTGCATATAAGCACTTGATAATTATTTGTGAACCAAAAGTATTAAGACAATGAGTTTCAAATGGCACAGAATAAATAGAATAGAGAGCTTTTTCAAAGTGTTTACATCATCCGCTTCTCATTTCCACTCCCCCTATTCCCTATTCTCTGCACAGATCCAAGAATCACTGCCCTCAAGAGACATAATTTTTAAGGTGAGTCTCTCACATCATTCAAAAATGCTGGGGGAGCCTGGGTGGCTCAGTTAGTTAAGTGTCTACCTTCAGTTCATGTCATGACACCGGGGGTTCTGGGATAGAGCCCCGCATTGAGCTCCCTGCTCGGTGGGGAATCTGCTTCTCCTCTCTCTCCCTCTGTGCTTTCTCTCTCTCTCTCAAATAAATAAATAAAATCTTAAAAAAAAAAAAAGTGCTGGGAAAAAAGTTCCTGAATCAGTGCTCTAAGGTGACAAAATACTTCTTTAACCAGATAAAATTATTTTCAGAGTAGCTTTCAAATAGCTAAAATTAAACTCTCCTGCAAATTCTCTATGTATTGAAACCATGGTTAGGACATGTCACGAAATGGCATGGTCACATTCACTCACTTTCTTCAGCAGCAGTAAAGATTGTGCCTGGAAGCTTGGGGTGTGCGTGGGTAGTCTTCGCAGCAATGACAATGTTTGCTCCATCCTTTGCTGCTTTCAATGCAATAGCTTTGCCAATGCCACGGCTTGCACCTGTGATAAAAACTGTACATCCTGCTAGCTTCCTACAACAGAACAAATATGACCTCATAAGAAACCTCAAGTTTTATTTACTTAATATTATTAGTAAGAGGAAACTTCTGCATCTTTTCACATTATGTGTTTTCTCCTCTAAAACTTTCTCTAAACCACCCTCCCTCCCTGACAGCAAATAGCTCTGTAATACTGCCACTGCACAATGATTTATAAATTATTATAACTGAGGGGATCCCTGGGTGGCTCAGCAGTTTGGCATCTGCCTTTGACCCAGGGCATGATCCTGGAGTCCCAGGATCGAGTCCCACGTCAGGCTCCCTGCATGGAGCCTGCTTCTCCCTCTACCTATGTCTCTGCCTCTCTCTGTGTCTCTCATAAATAAATAAATAAAAGCTTTATTTATTAAGTTAATTACTTAATTCCCTGATTAAGTTAATTACTTAATTAATTGCAGTATATCCACAAAGGAATATATTCAACAATAAAAAGAAGTACTGATCCATGCTACATGGATGAACCCTGAAAACATTATGCTAAGTGAGAGAAGCCAGTCACAAAGGACCATAGACTGTACGATTCCATTTATACGAAATGTCCAGAAAAGGTAATCTGAGTCACAAGGATGGTGGCTGCTGAGGACTAGGGGTGGAGGGGGTTGGAGTTGATAGCTAAGGAGTGTAGGGCCTTTTTCGAAGATGATGAAAAGGTTTTAAAATTGATTGTGATGGGGTACCTGGGTGGCTCAGTCGGTTAAGCATCTGACTTTTTATCTCAGCTCAGTTCTTGATCTCAGGGTCCTAAGTTTAAGCCCCTGATGGGCTTCATGCTGGGCATGGAGCCTACTTAAAAAACAAAACCTTCTCTGAGTAGGGTAAATACAGTGAAAGTGACAATCACAAAGAGATAGGGGAGTATAACTACACAGACTCGTTAACCAATAAGAACGTAAGGTTCCTGCCAAGATCTATAGGATTTACACCTCAGAAAATATCAGAGGGGAACATGGGGAAGGTTTTTTTTTTTAATTTATTTATTTATTATTTATGATAGTCACACAGAGAGAGAGAGAGAGAGAGAGAGAGAGAGAGAGAGAGAGAGAGAGAGGCAGAGACATAGGCAGAGAGAGAAGCAGGCTCCATGCACCGGGAGCCCGACGTGGGATTCAATCTCGGGTCTCCAGGATCACGCCCTGGGCCAAAGGCAGGCGCTAAACTGCTGCGCCACCCAGGGATCCCTGGGAAGGGTTTTAAAGTAAGAAATAAATGTTTCGGTAGGAAAGCTGGGGAGTGGAGAAGGGAAGAGACCAAGAGGTGGTGACTATTATTAGTGAAATACAGCAAACATACAAAAAGCATGTAAACTAATATATATAGAATAAAATGAGTTGCAAGAAAGAGAAATAAGAATATTACCAATACTCCAGAAGCCACTAGTCTATTCCTTTATTCCCGTTTTTTTGTTTGTTTTTTACTATTTCTTATACCAAAACCTCTATGCCTAACCTAAGGGCCAAATCTGACCCTCCATCTGTTTGTATATAGTCCTAAAGTTAAGAATAGCTTTTATAGATGAACATTTATGATCAATTTGATAAGGAACACTAATTTTGAACCCCGATGAAGCCAAACATTACCTCTCTGCTGTGTCTTGAGTTGTACCTACCCAAAAGGATATGCTGAAGTGCTAACCTCTAGTACCCCAGGATGTGACCTTATTTAGAAAGAGAATTGTTGCAGATGTAATTAGAGGAGGACATATTGGAGTCGGGTGGGCCTTTAATTCAGTATGACTGGAAACAAGGAGAGAAGACTATGTAAAGATCCACATACAAGAATACCATCTGATGAAGGAGGGAGAGATTGGAGTGATGCAAGGTAAGAATGCAAAGAATTGCTGGCTGTCACCAGAAGCTCTCTTACACTGTGGAAGAGGCAAGGAAGATTTCTACCCAGAATTTCAGGGGAGAATATCCTGGCTGACACCCTGATTTTAGATTTCAGACATCTAGCCTCCGGAACTGTGAGAGAATTAATTTGTTTGCAGCCACTCAACTTGTACTTTGTTATGGCAGCCCTAGGACACTAATAAACCCTCTCTTCCTCCGCAAAAAGAATTTCATTCTTCTCATTGTATTGCCAAAAAAAAAATGTTCTTCTTTTGAATTTCACTAATAAAAAACATTGTGGAAATTGGTTTTCTCATTATGCATTGTCTTAGATATACATAGATACGCTTATACATACGTTACGTACACATTTAATTGCCTACATACTACCTCCAATTTTGCCTCTCACCTATGAAGCCTAAAATATTTACTATCTGGCCCTTTTCAGGAAAAGCTTGCCTGGGGTGCCTGGCTGGTTCAATCAGTACAGCATTGTAACTCTTGATCTTGGGGTCGGGAGTTTAAGCCCCATATTGGGCACAGAGATCACTTAAAAAAAAAAATGCTTGCCTAACCAATTTCTAAGTAACATCCTTTAATTTAAAAAAACAAAACAAGTGTCTTTTTTTAAGATTTTATTTATTTGTTCATGAGAGACAGAAAGAGGCAGATATGATATATGCAGAGGGAGAAGCAGGCTCCCTTCGGGAAGCCTGATGTGGGACTTGATCCCAGGACCCCAGGATCACCACCTGAGCCAAAGTCAGATGCTCAACCACTGAGCCACCCAGGCGTCCCAATACACTATTTAATTTTAACTGAACTTTATATAATGGATTCATACAGTATGGAACTGTAGGATTTACTTCTTTCACAAAACATTGTGTGGAGATTTATCCATGTTGGTGCAGATAACTAATTTTAATTAATACATAGTATCTGCATATGAACATACTACAAATTGTTTATTCGTTCTACTATTTAGATTTGGGTGATGGTTTCCAGTTTTCTTTTTTTGTCTATTATAAACAATGTTGCTAAAAATATTCTTGTTCACTTTCTCCAGTCACATGTGCAAGAATTTCTCTAGAGCGTATAAACCTATTGGTAAAGCTGCTGGATTACAGGCTACTGTTGTAGATCAAGCATCGCCACAAGTCCTTTGGCATTCCTTTCATCAAGAGGAAGAATGTATTTTTCCCTTCCCCTTGAGTCTGGGTTAGCTTTTTGACTTTTTTTGAGCAATAGAATGTAATGAAAGTGATATTCTGATTTCCAACCCCACACTGTAAGGTGGCTGGCAGTCTCCACTGTCTCTCTCCACAGCGAGATGCTATGATACAAAGTGGAACAAATTACCAAATGATGACAGGTCAAGTGAGAGAGGCCCTGGAGGGTGAGAGAAGCTGTTTAGAATGTTTCAGCCCCAGCTAAGGACTCAGCTAAATGCAACTGTATCAATGACCTCAATTTAGAGTATACAGAGCAGAAAAACCCAGTTAAGAACTGTGGATAATAAAAAAAAAATCACTGTCGTTTTAAAACATTACGTTTTATGGGGTGCCTGGGTGGCTCAGCAGGTGGACATCTGCCTTTGACTCAGTGATCCTGGGGTCTTGGGATCAAGTCCCACATCAGGCTCCCTGGAGGGAGCCTGCTTCTCCCTCTGCCTATATCATATCTGTCTCTCTGTGTCTCCCCTGGACTGAGTCCCACATCAGGTTTGGGGAGCCTGCTTCTCCCTCTGCCTGTGTGTCTGCCTCTCTCTCTCTCTCTCTCTCTCTCTGTCTCTCATGAATGGATGAATAAAAATCTTCTAAAAAACAAATAAAAATAAACCATTACGTTTTGGAGTATTTGCTAAACAGCAACAGATAATTGAAACACTTAAGTTCAACTTTCCCAAGTAATGCTAAATCTCTTTCTAAAGCAGTTAATATTCCTACTAGCAGCAATATATGAAAGTTTCCATAGCTCCACATTTCCCCAACATTTAATGTCAGATATTTAAAATTTTTGCCAAAAAAAATTTTTTTGCCAATTTGATAGATATGAAATGGAAATGGTATCTCAGTGTTGTTTTAATTACATTTCCCTGATTATTAATAAAGCTAATTTTTATATGTTGTCATGTTCTTCTTTGTAATTCCTATCAGTTTTGTTCATCTTAATATTACAAATGATTCATAAATTATATTTAAAATAAATTGTATAGATTAATTATAAATATTTAAATGTAAATTATAAAACTATGTAAATATTCATATACTGGGGCAGTTGGCTGGCTCACTCAAGCCCCACACTGGGTATAGAGATTACTAAAAATAAACTTTACCAAAAATGTATTCATATATGTAAATGCAAAGTAATATGTATCTACATATTTAAATATGTGTAGTACATGTATTTATAAATCACACGTACTTTAAAAATTTTCTCATTTGTGGCTTGCCTTTTCACTACACCTTGATAGTGTTCTTTTTTTTTTAAGGTTTTTTTTTTAAAAAGATTTATTTATTTATTCATGAGAAACACCAATAGAGGCAGAGACACAGGCAGAGGGAGAAGCAAGCTCCCTGCAGGAAGCCCGATGAGGAACTCGATCCTGGATCCCATGAGCCAAGGCAGATGCTCAAATGCTGAGCCACTCAGGTGTCCCTTTTTTTTTTTTTTTAAAGATTTTATTTATTTATTGAGAGAGAGAGAATGAATGAATGAGCAGGGAAGGGGCACAGGGAGAGCAGACTCCCCACTGAAGAGGGAGTCCAATGACCACGATGATGACTCAGCATTCCATTTCACAACCCTGAGATCATGACCTGAGCCAAAGTCAGATGCTTAACCAACTGAGCCACTCAGGTGCCCCTATATCTTTTGACAAGTAGAAATTCTTCATTTTCATGTAGAATTTATGAATCTTTTCTTTTATAGCCAATGCTTTGTGTTTAAAACAAAAAATCCTTCCCTAACCACAACTGTATTAATTTGTCTTTCAAACAATTTATGGTTTATTTTTTAAATACTAGTCTTTAACCTACCTAGAATTAACTTTTATGTATGAGTTGAGGTAGGGATCCAATTACATTCTTTTCGTTTTTTTTTAAGATTTTATTTATTTATTCATAGAGACACAGCTAGAGAGAGAGAGGCAGAGACACAGGGAGAGGGAGAAGCAGGCACCATACAGGGAGCCTGATGTGGGACACGATCCCGGGTCTCCAGGATCACACCCTGGGCTGCAGGCGGCGCTAAACCGCTGCGCCACCGGGGTTGCCCCAATTACATTCTTTTCAATGTGGACAACCAACTGTCCCAGTCTAAAAAGCCCAACTTTCCCACAGATCTTCAATTCTAGCTTTGTCAAGATGAGTCTCCATAAATAAAGAGCCATTTCTAAGGCTTTCTCTTCTGTTCCACTGGTCTACGTGGATTGCACTGTCTTAACTAATAGCTTTACAAACAACTAGCTTTAAAAAAAAAAACCTAGAAAAGTAAAACTCAAATCAGTCTGGTTTTTAATTTCTATTATTGTAATATGTTTTAATTCTTTGTGCAAATATTATTTATTATTCTTTATGTTTTACTAATTATTATTATAAATACACTTTAGATTTCTGTACTTAATTTACCATAATTTTTTATTTCTATTTTTTTGTTTCTTTTATTTTAGTATTTTTTATGTATTCCTGTATATTAAACCTTCCATCTGGGAACATTTCTTCTTTGAATAAATAAGGCATGAAAAAGAAAGAAACACTTTGGATTGAAGTGAAAGAAATAATGCTAATATTATTATTTGTAGTTTACATGATTACATAGAAAACAAAAATAATGCGTAATTAAATTACTAGATTTAATAAGAGTTTGACAAATTTTCAAATTCAATGAAAAGTCAATGAAGAAAATTATATTTCTATACATAGGCAAAAATCTGCAAGTAATACAGTATAATAGCAATGAAAACGAGAAGTCCCAAATCCAGAATATGGACTCTCCCACAGGACAAATGATCTATATTCTTCAGCAAATAAATGGCATAAAGAAAGTGGAAGGGGGGCAGCCCTGGTGGCGCAGCGGTTTAGCGCCGCCTGCAGCCCAGGGTGTGATCCTGGAAACCCTGGATCCAGTCCCACGTCAGGCTCTCTGCATGGAGCCTGCTTCTCCCTCTGCCTGTGTCTCTGCCTCTCTCTCTCTCTGTGTCTCTATGAATAAAAAAATAAAGTCTTAAAAAAAAAAAAAAAGAAAAGAAAGAAAGTGGAAGGGAAGCTGTTACAGATCAAGAGAAACTTATAAGATCTAGCAACTAAATGCAATGTGAGGTCCTTACAAGATCCTGATTTGATAAAGCCAACTTAAAAAGACATCTTTGAGATAGTTATAAGACTATGAAAATGGATAGGTAGTAGATGATATTGAGGAATTACTGTTAATTTTTTGAATTGTAATCATGAGCTACCCAGGTGTCCCATTCTTCTAGGTTCTTATATTATTTGAGGGAATGGTAAAATTTTATTTACTTCACATTGTAAGTCATTTACACATTAAAGTTACTACATTAAATGTGAAAAATAGAAATCCTATACCTTGGAGTGCCTGGGTTGCTCAGATGATTAAGCATCTGCCTTTGGCTCAGGTCAAGATGCTGATACCCTGGGGTCCCGGGATCAAGCCCCGCATGAGGCTCCCTGCTTAGACAGGAGCCTGCTTCTCCCTGTCCCTCTGCCCCCCCCCAATAATAAATAAAATATCTAAAAAATAATAGGGCACCTGGGTGGCTCAGTGGTTGAATGTCTGTCTTTGGCTCAGGTCATGATCCCGGGGTCCTGGGATCAAGTCCCATATTGGGCTCCCCGCAGGTAGCCTGCTCTCCCTCTGCCTATGTGTCTCTGCCTCTCTCTGTGTCTCATGAATAAATAAATAAATAAAAATCTTTAAAAAATAATAATAAAGTTTTTTTTTTAATGAAAGTATTGAGAGGAAAATGTGTCCACTATTGCTTTAAAAGCCTTATCCCTTTGCCTTTGGTCTAGCTGGATTGATTCCCAGCAGGGTAAAGGACATTTTCCTCCTCACACAGAGTCTCAGGCAGTGACAGAAATAAAGGCAAAGACGGTTTTTACCTTTAGCCTGAAACCCAGGGGCTGTGCTACAAGGAAGCCTCTCCAGCTCAAAAGCATTAGAACCAAAGGAGGCAAGAAAGAAAGAGTCCAAATTTGTCAGTACCATTGGCGGACAGCTAAAACTTGCTAATGTGGAGTTAATCTACACTACAATTTACCAAACTTCTCTGGTACCTCAAAATCAGAGTAAATGTGATAAAAATTTTTGTTAACAGTTTTAAAAAAGAAAAGCAAATCAAAACAAATACTTTTATTATCAAGCATTTTGTTGTCTGCCAGCCTGCTGGATTAGGAAACTTCATTCATCCTTTTGGATATTCAACCTCTTTGGAGCGCCAAGGATATTAGCAGGTGTAAAGTTCATATACTTTTTTTTTTAAGATTTTATTTATTTATTCATGAGAAACAGAGAGAGAGAGAGAGAGAGAAGCAGAGACTCAGGCAAAGGGAGAGGCAGGCTCCACGCAGGGAGCCCTATGTGAGACTCAATCCCAGGACCCCAGGATCATGCCCTGGGCTGAAGGCAGGTGCGAAACCACCGAACCACCCGGGGATCCCCGTTCATATACTTTTTTATCCAGGAACTTCACCTCCAGGAATTTGTTGTAGAGATTCACTCAAAAATGTGCAAGCAGTGGATACAAGGTTAATCACTGCAGCAAACATGCAGTAACAAAAAAACTAGAAATGATCTGGTATCCAGGGATAGGTGACTGTTTTAAGTAAATTATGGAACATCGACAAAATATCATGTTACCACTAAAAGAGAAAGAAGATCTGCATACCTAAAATGTACGTGTGTCCCAGGACATACTAAGTAAAAATGGCAAGGCCCAAAAGGGAGTTTTCTACTATTTGTAAAAGTGATGCCGGGATACCTGGGTGGTTCAGTGGTTGAGTGTCTGCCTTCAGCTCAGGGTGTGATCCTGGAAACCCATCGGAGCCCGGCATGCGGCTCCCTGCATGGAGCCTGCTTTTCCCTCTGCCTGTGTCTCTGCCTCTCTCTGTGTCTCTCATGAATAAATAAATAAAATCTTAAAAAAAAAAAAAGGCGGTGTGCGTGATTCTGTGTGCCTGTGGTGTACAAATATGTATATGCATAGCCTATCTCTGAAAACATACCAGAGAGTCACTGAGAAACTGAACGTGAAGGATGGAGAAACTCACTTTTTACTCTATACCCTTTTGAGCTTTTGTAAGCCTTTTGGCCACGTGCCTGTTTGCTTCAAGCAAATTACAAAACACACAAATCGCTGCCCTGAAGACCGGTACACTTTGCAAAAACAGAAAGTAGAATGGTGGTTTGCCAGCAGCTGGAGGGAAAGGGGGAGTTGTTTAATGGGTATAGAGTTTCTTTCTTTTTGCAATTTTATTTCTTTATTCATGAGAGAGACAGAGAGAGAGAGGCAGAGACACAGGCAGAGGGAGAAGCAGGCTCCCCGTGGGGACTCGATCCCCGGACCCCAGGATCACGACCTGAGCTGAAGGCTGACTTCTCAACCACTGAGCCACCCAGGTGCCCCGCCTATAGAGTTTCTTTTGCAAGTTGAGAAAGTTCTGGAGAACGGCTGCGGGCAATGTGAATACACTACGCTTAAAAATGGGTAAGAGCTTAAAAATGGTTAAGATGGGGCAGCCCGGGTGGCTCAGTGGTTTAGCATCTGCCTTCGGCCCAGGGCGTGATCCTGGAGTCCCGGGATCGAGTCCCACGTCGGGCTCCGTGCATGGAGCCTGCTTCTCCCTCTGCCTGTGTCTCTCATGAATAAATAAATAAAATCTTTTTTTAAAAAAAATGGTCAGGATGGTAGACGCTGTGTACGTGTGTTTTACCAGCATTTTTGGAAGACTTCAGTGAAGCGCCCCGCGAAAAGGACGCCCCTATGAAGGACGAGTTTCACGTGTCACGAACTCGAAGATCACCTCCTCAAACAGCCCTTTGTGACGTGGTTATTCGGGGGGAGCGGCGGGGACAAGCGAGGCGCCAGCCCCGCGAGCCTTCAGGCGACCTTTCACCTCGAGCTCCAGACCCCGTCCCTCGGGCAGCGAGAGGCCCGCCCGCGGCCGCCACCCGAAGCACACGGCCCCGCTCTCCACACACCGCGGGGGTCGCGCGCTCCCCCGGGCCCGGGCCGCGCGACCCCCGAGCCGCCCGCTCCGCCCGGCCGCGCCTCCCGTCGTGCCCTTACCCGGTGTTGGGTAACATGGTTTCCTCAGAGCAGAGGCGGCGGCGGCGGCGGCAGCGGCGGCGAGCGGACCCGGAGACGCGGGCCTCCTCTCCTCATTTAGCCCCAGTCCCTCGAGGCCCCGCCCGCAGGCCGGCGGCGAGCGGGCGCTCCCAGGAGCGGCGGCCCTCGGAGTGCGCCTGCGCACGCAGCGGGCTCCCGGCGCTCGGCGCTAGTTTCCGCCTTCCCCGCCCCCGCCCGGTCCCCGGACGCGCTCTCTGCGCAGGCGCTGAGGGAGAAAGGCGGCTCCGCCCCGCGCGCGTCGCGGGGCTCTGCGGGGACAATCGGCGTCCCGCCGGCCGCGGGCGTAGTGCGCGCGTCAGCCGCTACATGCGTGCGCTTTTCCCGCGCGGGTGCAGGCGCCGTCGTCCGCGCGTGGGGTGGCGGTTGCAGTCGCGCCCTCGGGACCTCATGGAGGGCGCGGGGGCCGCTTCTCTGCAGAGGCTGACCTGCGGGCTCCCTCCCCGGCCCGAACCCGGTGCCTGGCTCCTGCGCGCGCAGCACCGAGGGCGCCGTCGTCCTCGCTTGCTCCCGAAGCCGGCCACGGTCGCATCCTCCCCCCTCCCCCCCCCCCGGGACCGCGGCCCACGGCTGGCGGACCTCACCTGTCCGTGCATCGCCCAGCGATGAGCCGCAGCTTCTGGGGCTGAGCGCTTTGCAACAGTCTGGGGGGAGCATGCATAGTTAGCAATGGTCTTCCGGAAGAAACTCCCAAACTCCGTGCAGGAATAAGGTGAATTCTGGGATCTAGTATTGCGGGTTTTTTTTTTTAAGTGTTTATTTAAATTCCAGTTAACATACAGTGTGATAATAGTTTCAAGGGTACAATGTAGTGATTGAACACTTACATGCAACACCTAGCGCTCATCACAAGTGGACCCTAGTGTGTTTTTTTAATTAATTTTTTGAAAAATATTTTATTCATTTATTCATGAGAGACAGAGAGAGACACAGGCGGAGGCTGAAGCAGGCTCCATGCAGGGAGCCGGATGTGGGAATCCCGGGTCTCCAGGATCACGCCCTGGGCTAAAGGCGGCGCTAAACCGCTGAGCCACCCGGGCTGACCCCTAGCTGACCCCTAGTATTGTTTTTGATAGTATTCTTTACACATTACTCAGCTACCCTAATCTACCTTTAGGGAGATGTGAAGAAAGTGTATTTTTTTTTTTGACATTTTATTTATTCATGACAGACATAGGCAGAGACGCAGGCATAAGAGAAGCAAGCTCCCCGCAAGGAGCCCGATGTGGGACTCGGTTCCGGATCCTGGGATCACGCCTCGAGCCAAAGGCAGATGCTCCACCGCTGAGCCACCCAGGCCTCCCGAGAAAGTGTATTTTGGGAGGGTAGAACAGGATGATGAGGTTGTTAAATGAGGACTAGTTAAACTAGTTTGGAAATAGGGTTCGTATTCCTCCGCTTACTGCAATCCCTAAATGGTTCTGTTTATTCATGTGTATTGCCAGCTTCCTATAGGCATTTGAATTGGCCATCTTTGATATTGTCCTTAGAAACTACAGAATTTGTTTATTCAACAAGTGGTAGCACCTAGTTCATGCTGGTCACTGGAGACACAGCATGACAAAAAAGAGGAGGTCTGCCTGTGTGGGAGGAATGAGGAAACGCCAATGTGTTATTCAGACTGTTGTAGATATTAGGTGTTTCAAGAAGAGTGTTGATAGGGACCATTCAATGCAAAACTTACCTTGCACTTAAGAAAGTGAAAACAACCCACAGGGACTCCTGGGGGTCTCAGTGGTTGAGCATCTGCCTTCAGCTCCAGGTGTGACCCCAGGATGGGGGTTTGAGTCTCCCATCAGGCTCCCTGCTGGGAGCCTGCTTGTCCCTTTGCCTATGTCTCTGCCTCTCTCTCTGTGTCTCTCATGAATAAGCAAATAAATCCTTTTAAAAAAGAAAAGACAACCTACATAATGGGATAAAATACAAACATATATCCAATAAGGTCTGGTATCCAGAATATACAGAGAATTCTTACAACTCACCAACAAAAAGGTGAACAACCCGACAAAAAAGTGAACACGGGCTCCTGGGTGGCTTGGTTGGTTAAGTATCTGACTTATGATTTTGGCTCAGGTCATGATCTCAAGGTGATGAGATGGAGCCCTAGGTAGGGCTCTTCAGGCAAGCTCAGAGTCTGCTGGGGATTCTATCCCTTTGCCTCTGCCCCTCTTCCTGCTGATGCACACATGTCCCCTCTCTCTAGCTCACGCTAAAAAAATAAATAAAATATTTAAAAAACAAAAATGAACAAAGGATCTGGATAGATATTTTTCCAAAGAATATATGCAAGTGGTCAGCAAGCACATGAAAAGATGCCCAAAGCATTAGTTACTAGGGAGCTGCAAATCAAAACTACAATGAGATTCCACTTTATGCATACTAGAATAGTTATAATAGAAAATATGGAAAATAAGTTAGCCAGGATGTGGAGAAATTGGAACCCTCATTCATTGTTGGGAATGTAAAAAGGCATAGCCACTTTGGGAAACAGTTTTGCAGCTCCTCAAAAAGTTAAAATTGCCACCTACTGGATATCCACATGCAAAAGAGCAATTCACTTTTTGATATATCCCCAAGAGAAATATAAACATGTTCAGAAGAACCACCAGATGGCACTGTTATTTTAAAATTCAAAATGGTATAAAGCAAAACGTTAATTAACAATATTGTGACATACAAAAAAAAAACAATATTGTGACATACTATTATAATCTTAGTTGGATTAAGGCAAAAATAGCATGAAATTCTCTACAGAATTCTTGTAACCGGGAAATATGAGGAGGCATATTTTAAATTGTAAATTCCTTCAAGAAGGGGTGCCTGGGTGACTCAGTGGTTGAGCATCTTCCTTTGGCTCAGGGCGTGATCCCTGGGGTCCAGGGTTCGAGTCCCACATTGGGCTCCCTGCTCAGCAGAGTCTACTTCTCCTTCTGCCTACATCTCTGCCTCTCTCTCTGTGTCTCTCATGAATAAATAAATAAAATCTTTTTTTAAAAATCCTTAAAAAACAGGATGTGATACCTTAATTCTTTTATATTATTATTTAAATTAATAATACTGCCAATACTAAAAAGTAATTTCCAAATGCATGAGAAATTAAGAATGCAGAATTAAGTTGAAATATCAGAAGATATGATGTTGAGGAGCACCTGGCTGGCTCAGTCAGAAGAGCATGTGACTCTTGATCTCAGGGTTAAGAGTTCAAGCCCAATGTTGGGGGTAGAGATTAGTTAAATAAAAAACTTTTAAAACGGTATAACATTGAGAACTTTAACCTTAAATTATCAAATAAGGTCTCTTCTAACTCTATCTTGCATAAGAATATATATATTTTTTTAAAGATTAATTTTTTTAGAGAAAGAGTGTAAGCAGGGGGAGGGGCAGAAGAAGAGGGAAAGAATCCTCAAGCAGACTCCCTACTGAGTGGGGAACCTGACACAGGGCTTAATCCCAGAACCCTAATCATGACCTGAGCTGAAACCAAGAGCTAGATCCTTAACCAAATAAGTCACCCAGGCACCCCAAGAATATATTTTTGAGTATATAATGCAGTAACATTCAAATGTGTTGGCCACAGCCACATAAAGAAAGAAATTTTTTAAAGATTATTTATTTGAGAGAGAGAGAGGGAGGGAGGAACAGAGGGAGAGAGAATCTCAAGCAGACTCCCTACCTAGTGTGGAGACTGATGCAGGGCTTTATCTCATGACCCTGAGGTCATGACCTGAGCTAAAACTAAGAGTCAGATGCTCAACCAACTGAGCCATCCAGGTACCCCCATAAAGAAATTTTTCATCCAGACCCAGGATACACAGTTCTCTATTTTATTGAATCTATTATATTCTATCAAGTTGATCATAATATACTAAATTATTTGGATGATTCATTAATGGATTATAGCTTACTATTTGGAAAACACTGCTTTAGTGTGCTGTTATTTACCATTGTGATTTTTCAACTTGCCTTTTAAGATATCCTGGGCTTCTCCAAATATAAAATTACTAATTAATGATAGTTAGAGACCAACAATACAATGCACATGCTTTTAATCGCTTTAGAAAAGTCAGGGCTCTTGAAACTTTCCATTTTCTTCACCCACAAGACAGCTCACCCTGGTCCAGGTTAAATGGGGAAATCCTTGGGGTTTTGTGTATGGCAGTTCTTTCTGAAAATGTACCAAATCTTCCCCATAGACCTGCTAGCAGTACCTTTTGTTTCTCAAAGAATTATTCCCAGTCACTATTTTATTAGTAACTGTTATTAACCTCCATGCTGTATTTAAATGTCTTTATCTTTCTGATAATACAGGACTACAACAATCTAGAGAAAGTGAAAATTTCCATCTTAATACCATCATTCAGAGATAATTATTAACATTTTAGTATGTATCCTTTAAGTCTGAAAAAAAAATTTTTTTTGGACAGATCCTGCCGCAGGTTTATTTGTACAAATAGCACAAGAGGACACCAGGCCCATGTAGACAGAAGCCCAGGGGTCATACCAGTCCTTGCGTCCTCACACTGGCAGGCAGAAGACTCTACACTGGAGCCTTTGTGGGGGCCTGGGCACCTTTGGGGGCCTGCGCTGCAGGAGTAGAAGCAGGAGCCAGAGCCAGGGCCACAGCTGCAGCCTGGGCCTTGGTTTGAGCCTTGGCCTTGGACTTTGGCCGGCAGAGCCTGAGACCTTTGGCAATGCGGGCTCGAGCACGTTTCCCGAGCTTGGGATGAGCTATGTAGGCAAGTCGATTGAGCTTGTGGCTGCCGCCCTTTGGGATCTTGGGCTTGACTTCCTTGGGCTTGACAAGGGCCTCGATAGCCTCGGCACGTACAGTCATGGCCTTGGCATGGCTGGCCTGCATCTTCTTCAGGCCCTTCTTGTTGTGCTTCTTGGCAAAGCGCATGTCCCTCAGGAACTTGGGGTCTAACCCCTTAAGAGATTCATATCTTTGTGACCGGGGTTTCTTGATGCCATTTCTGTGCCATTTTTGTGACTGGTTGTGCATGGTGTGGTTCTTGGACTTGGCCATGTCTGCATCAAAGTCCGTGCCTCCCCAAGAGCCTATGGACCAGAAGAGAAAAAGCAAATCTGAAATTTTTATATAGGTTTTGATCATTTACAAATCATAGGGGAGATTATATATATATATATACTATATTATTTTGGAAACTTTTTGTTTTACTTAATGTATCATAGACATTTTTCCAAGTTTACACCTAAAAGTTTACCTTGACTATTTATTTATTTTTAAATTTTTTTTTTAATTTGGAGACATCAAGTGTGAGCCAGGTGAGGGGCAGTAGGAGAGGGAGAAAGAGAATCTCAAGCAGACTCCCCACTGAACATAGAGCCTGACAAGGGGCTGGACCCCAGGACCCCAAGATCATGACCTGAGCTGAAATCAAGTCAGATGCTTAACTGACTAAGCCACCCAGGCACCTATACCTTGACTTTTTTTAAAAAAACAAGTGCATAGTTTTCTTTTATATGAATATAATGAAATTAATTTTACCATTCTCATTTGTGATGGACATTTTAGTTGTTTCCACATTGTCTCCAATAAAAACATTTGTGCATGCATCATTGTTCACTACTCATTTTTCCTCAGAATACATTCCTAAAAGTGAGACTGTTTGCTTAATGGATATACACAATACAGTTTAGCAAGGTTGTGTTAATACAGTTGACTGTATTAACTGATTTGAACTGTGTAAGTCCACGTCTACATGGATTTTTTTTTGATAAATGCAGTATAGTCCTGTAAATGTATTTTCTCTTATGATTGTAACATTTTATTTCCTCTGGTTTACTTTAAGAATACAGTATATAGGCACATGTGGGTGGCCCACCCAAAGGCCCAAAGCATCTGCCTTTGGCTCAGGGCGTGATCCCGGGTCCCGGGATGGAGTCCCACATCAGGCTCCCCATGGAGAGTCTACCTCTCCCTCTGCCTCTCTCTCTGTGTCTCTCATGAATAAATAAAATCTTTTAAAAAAGAAAGAATACAGTATATAGTACATGGAACATAGAAAATGTGTGTTAATAGACTGTTGATGTTATTGGCAAGTCTTTTGGTCAACAGTAGACTGTTAGTAGTTAAGTTTCTGGGGAGTCAGAAGTTACACATGGATTTTTGATTATGTGGGCATCAGTGCCCCTAACCCCTGCATTGTTCAAGGGTCAACTACAACTTAGACCAGGATTTCTTAACCTTGGGGCTATTGACCCCTTGGGCTGGATAATCCTTTGTTGTAGAAGTTTGTCACATGTATTGCAGAATGTTTAGCAACATTACTGGCCTTTACCCCCTGGATGCTATAGCCCATATTCCCATGTATGTATGTTTAGATGCATAACTTAAATTTACCATGTTAACCATTTTCAAGTGTATAGTTCAGTGACTTGAGTACATTCACATTGTTGTGCAATCAATACCACCATCCTAGCCCTTCCAATCTTGACACTCCAGAAATTGCTGAATGTCCTCTGGAGGGCGAAATTACCCTGATTGTCTACATCATCACAGAGGTAGATGAGAAATCAAAAATGTCAATGTCATTAAGAGAAAAATGAGAGGCTGAAGAGCTGTAATAGATTAAACAAGACTGGGAAACCTGGGTGGCTCAGCAATTGGGCATTTGCCTTTGGGTCAGGGAGTGATCTTTGGGTCCCCAGATAAGAGTCCCACATCAGGCTCCCTGAATGGAGGCTGCTTCTCCCTCTGCCTGTGTCTCTGCCTCTCTCTGTGTGTCTCTCATGAATAAATAAATAAAATCTTTTTAAAAAGATTAAATAAGACTAAAAAAGACATTACAACTAATGCAACACACGATCCTAGACTGGATTCTATACAAAAAAAGATTTGCTCTAGCACAGTCAACAAATTGGAATGTGTATTACAGAGTAAAGTATTGCATCAATGATAAATTTCCTGAACTTGATAACTACTGGGGTAATGTAAGAGACTGTCTGTGTTCCTAGTATGAAGTATTAAGGAATAAGAGGAAATTAATATTCATCAACTCTTAAGTGTGTATGTCTGTGTGTGTGTGTGTAATGGAGAAGAGGTTATGGTGAAACAAATGTAGGAAAATGTTAAAAATTGGTGATTTGGAGTAAAGATGTATGAGAATTCCTTTCTCTCTTTGTTACAACTTTCTTATAAGCTTGAAATCAATTCAAACTAAAAAGTTTTATGTTTTAAGTGAAAGAAAATGCTTAGAGATGAGATTATTTATTGCCTGCCCATGCTTTTCAATTCGTTGTCCTTGCTAATTTTACTCATTCATGCTTCAGAAAAGGTAACTGTAACTACAGTTTAGAATAAAATCTTGATTTAGTCTAGGTCAATGGTTCTTAAACTTTAATGTGCACTGAAATCAATGGAAGAGCTTTGTAAAACACAGATTAATAAGCCCAACCTCCAGAGTTTCTGATTAACTAGGTCTTAGAGGAGTTGAAGAATTTGTAGTTCTCACAAGTTTCCAGGTAAGGCTAATGGTGTTGGTTGGGGCATGAAAAGGTGTAGGCTGATAGTTCTCAGCCTTGTTTGCAAATTGAAATCACTTGGGGATCTTTTTAAAAATCTGATGTCTGGGTCTTACTGCCAGAGATTCTAATTAAGTTGGTATGGAGTATACATAGGTGGTATTTTTTTTAAAGCTCCTCACCTCAAGTGATTCAAATATGCAGCCAAGATTGAGAGTAACTGTAATTACTCTCAATTAGAGTCAGTGTAATCCCATTCCCCTTGCCCATGCCTTTAGAGGTAGACATGTTATCTAATTCTGGCAAATGTGAGGTCTGCTGGGAAAGATTTTCTTATTTTAATAAAGAGACCACAGGAGCACCTGGGTGGCCCAGTCTCTTGATTTTGGCCCAGGTCATGATCTCAATCTCATGTGATTGAGCCCTATGTTGGGCTTTGCCCTCAGTGGGGAGTCTGCTTGAGATTCTCTCTCTCCCTCACCCTCTGCTCCTCCCCCACTCATGCTCTCTCTCTCTCTCTCTCTCTCTCTCTCTCTCTAAAATAAATAAATCTTAGGAAGGGAGGAAGGAAGGAAGGAAGGAAGGAAGGAAGGAAGGAAGGAAGGAAGGAAGGAAGGAAGGAAGGAAAACTAAACAGAATAGTTCGTCTTTTCTTCTAGATGTTATTTCTGGATGTGATATTTGGAATAGCTCTATCTATATTGCATCATAGTAGGGATTAGTCTTCCCCCTTCCTGTGACTCCTTCAAAGGTAAGCTTTCTCCTATAAGATTCAATGAAGAAAGGTAGGATGGGGAGCAGTTGTCTCAGTACCCTCCTGAGCTTTCCACCTGGCCTACTGGCACACTGTGGGTTTTCCTCACTTTACAGCTGCCATCTTTTAGAATTCCAGGAAACAGTTCCCTCAGTAGACAAGTGCTCACTTGCATGAATGCAAGTAGTGAGTGGAATGGGTATGTAGATGTGTGGATCATGCCTTATGTTACTTTTTTGCCTGTTCATTTATTTACTGTACCATCTGCACACAACTCTTAACCAAAGAGTTGAGGCTTACATGAGGGAATTACATATATATATTATGATTACATGTATAAAACAATTAACTTTATGTTTTATGGGACAACTGCCATATCAGAGATAATATTTCCAATACCTATTATGAATTATCCACTTTTTTTTTACCAACAGTATCCAAAAATTATCCACTTTTTTTACCAACAGTTTTTTAAAAGATTTTATTTATTTAATCATGAAAGACACAGAGAGGCACAGGTAGAGGGAGAAGCAGGCTCCCAAGACGTGGGACTTGATCCCGGGTCTCCAGGATCATGCCCTGGGCTAAAGGCAGTGCTAAACCGCTGAGCCACCAGGCCTGCCCAACAGTATCTTTTTAAAAAGATTTTATCTATTTATTTGAGAGAGAGAGGGCACACAGAGGGAGAGAGAGAAGCAGACTCCCTGCTGAGCAGGGAGCTCAACATGGGGCTGGATCCCAGGACCCTGAGATCATGACCTGAGCTGAAGGCAGATGCTTAACTGACTGAGCCACCCTGGTGTCCCCAGTAGTATCTATTATTGGAGGTATCAATATGCCCAGAAAAAACCCTGCATCTCTCAGCCTGTCTTGTAACTAGGAGTGGCCATGTTACCATATTATATGGTAATATATGAGCATAAGTGGGAGATATTGCAATGGACTTCTGAGAAAGTTTCTTTAAGGAGCTTACAGCCATTTTGTGATGTTAAGAATGAAAACCACATGCTCACGTAATAAAACAAAAGGGAGACTGGGTCACTAATGAACATGGAATGCCATAATAGTCCCGAAACTACTACTTCTAGACTCCTTTTGCAGGAGAAATTAATCTTTATCTAGTTTAAGACACTTATTTTTTGTTTCCTGTTATATGCATCTGTACCTAATGCTTAAATGATACCCTATCTCAAGGCAAAAGTACCAAAAGAATGCAAACCATTGCAAAGGGGGTTCCCTCTTGAGCATATCCAAATCCCTAGCTTTGCTCCTTGCCTTCATATCTGCTTTTCTCTCTAAGGGCATCAATATTGTTCAAATATCCTCCTTCAAAACTGCTTTTAGGGGCTCTTGGGTGGCTCATTCAGTTAAGTGTTTGGCTCTTGATCTCAGCTCAGGTCTTGATCTCAGGATCATAAGTTCTTAAAAACAAAAATTGCTTTTAGTATTTCCATCCCCTTTTAGGAAATCCCATGCCCTGCTCACAGGAGTTCGTCTTTTTTTTTTTAAAGATTTTATTTATTTACTCATAAGAGATATATAGTGAGAGGCAGAGACATAGGCAGAGGGAGAAGCAGGCTCCCTGTGAGGAGCCTGGGATCATGCCCTGAGCCAAAGGCAGATGCTCAACTGCTGAGCCATCCAAGCACCCCTAGGAGTTGGTCTTATATCAGGATCCAACCTCTTTTCATAGGCTATACATTTTCTCAAGTCTGAATTATTCATTCTGTTTTGAATATAACTTAAGCAAGAGAGTCTGGGTTGGGTGTGGGTTTTCCAAGTCCAGTTCCCGTGGAGATATTTCCGCTGAATTCCTCCT